CAGGACACCCATCTACATAGTCAGGCCCAACCAAGATTTTACAAGTATTTTAAAAAAATCAGTACATTTAGGCTGAAAGTCCTCATTCCTTGTGGTCCTCTGTACTTTGGAGTAGGAAGTCACACACCTAATTCTTTGCCACTCAGCCTACGGCCCTATTTAGGTATACAGGGTCTGAGGTGATCTGGGACACATGGAAAAGAACTTCAAGCATATATCTTTGTCAAAAGTCAGCACTGCTATTGTACAGGAACCTTGCAACTGAACCCTATACAATAGCAAGAACTGCCCACACCAAGATCGAGAAACTGGTGGTAGGGCATGAGGCACAACCGAGGGGGAAAGGAGCCTAGAATCCTCCCCCGTATAAGTGATAACCTGTGACCATGGGATGCAGCCTGTGTAAAGTAGCTTTATCCTGCTCTTAGTACCCAGAGTGGTGGTATTAAAGCCAGGGGCAATGTTGGCAATGTTCTCCCTGTGGGCACCATGCCTGAGGGACCTTCTTAGAACCCGAGGGCAGCTTCACTCTGGTCTTCTTGGTTTCAGGGTTGTGGGATATGACTGTGGCATAGTTCCCACAACAGTGTCATTCCTCCCACAATCCAAGATCCCTGGGCAGAACAGACCCCATCATGTCAGCACCTGTGGATGAATACCCCAGCCAACAACTCCACAAATAACTGAAGTCGGGGATGCCCCATTGCCTGAAGAAAGTTGCCAACCAGTCCAAAGACAAATTTTATTGAGCCCCTCAGCTCTAGTTCTCTTTCTCCTGCACTGTCTTGGTTCCACGGAGTCGCCCAGTCCTGCGAGCAGCAATAAGACCCACTTTGCGCCCTGCAGGGGCATCTCTGCGGATGGTTGAGGGTTTGCCGATGTGCTGGTGGTTACCACCTCCATAGGGATGCTCCACAGGATTCATGGCCACACCACGTACACGTGGCCAGCAGTTCCTCTTCGCCTTGTATTTGTGGTAGGCTCGGCCAGCCTTCAAGATAGGTTTATCAATTCTGCCACCACCAGCTACTACACCAACAACAGCTCTGTTGGCAGAGGAGATGACCTTCTTAGAACCCGAGGGCAGCTTCACTCTGGTCTTCTTGGTTTCAGGGTTGTGGGATATGACTGTGGCATAGTTCCCAGAGGCTCGGGCCAGCTTACCCCGGTCCCCAGGCTTCTCCTCCAGGCAGCACACAATGGTACCCTCAGGCATGGTGCCCACAGGGAGAACATTGCCAATGTTGAGTTGGGCTTTCTTGCCGCAATACACGAATTGGCCCATGTGGATACCCTCGGCGGCGATGAACAACTCGGTACGCTTCTTGAATCGGTACGGATCCCGGAAGACCACCTTAGTGAGGGGTGCGCCGCGGCCCGGGTCGTGGATAATGTCCTTCACGATACCCTTGATGTAGCCGTGTCGTTCTGCAAAATCCACGGCGCGTAGACGAGCAGCGCCCTTGCGATGCTTCACGTGCGCGCGAAACACAGACCCAGCACCCTTTCTCTGTCCACGGATCACGCGGCCCATGACGGCGGGTCTGTCCGCGAGCGCGGCCGAAAGCCCTTTCTTTTCAATGAACTAAGAAATTAGCAGTATAACTATCTTAGCTATCTTCTATATATATTTATATATTTTTCCTTTCCCTTCTTTTCTCCTTTCCCCTTTTCCAGTTTCTCTTTCCTTTTGAACAGTTTCTTCCCCTTTTAAAATATCTGTTGTACAATTTGGATCTTATTTACTCCTTCAGCTTCTCACAGTAGGGAGACAGGATGATGTTTACATGTGTGTCTGGTTTATTTCACTTATGAGTATGGTCTCAAGTTATTTCTACTTACTATAAAAGTCTCCAGTTTATCCTTCTTTATGGCTAACTTGTCTGTTATAAAAATAGACCACATCCTTTTACCCATTCCTTGGCTGATGGGCATTTTGGTTGTTTCCAAGATCTAGCCATTAGAAATTGTGTTGCTATAAACACAGGTGCACATTTATCATTGTGGCAGGATGTTTTTAATTCTGCTGGGAAGATAACCGAATGAAGAATAGCTGGGCCAAATGGGACCTCCAGTCCTAGTTTTTGGAGGAATCCCCATGCTGATTTCCACAGTGGTTGTACCAGTTCACACGCTGATCCGTAGTGGAGTAGGGCTCCTTTTTCCCCACAGCCCCACCAGCATTTGTTATTGGTTTATTTCTTGTTAACAGCCATTCCTTCTGGGGTGAGATGGTATCTTAGTGTTATTTTAATTTGCATCTCTTGACTGACTACTGATGTTGAAAATTTTTTCATATATTTATTTGCTATTTATATTTCTTTATCTGAGAAATGTGTATTGATCTCAGATGCCCAATTTTGGATTGGGTCTTTAAATTTGGAAGGTCTGACTTTTTTTAGTTCTTTATATGTTCTCAGTAGTAGTCCTTTGTCTGAGGAACAGCTAACAAACCTTTTCTCCCAGACTATGGGTTGTCTCTTCACTCTGCTGCTGATTTCTCTTGCTGTGCAAAGCCTTTTTTTTTTTTTTGACAAGGTCTCACTGTATAGTTCAAGCTGCCCCTGAACTCACTATGTAGCCCAGGCTGGCCTTAAACTTGGGGCAATCCTCCTGCCTCAGCCTTCTGAGTGCTGGGATTATAGATGTGCTCTACTATGCCTGGCCTGCAAAAGCTTTTTAGTAAGATGAGATCCCAGTTGTTGATTCTTTGTGATAGTTGGGGTTTTCTTCCTAAAGTCTTTGACTATACCACAGTCAGAGACAGACTCTTGAGTGAAGCTTGTTTGTTTTTGTTTTATAAATATATTTGGTCCAGGGTCTCACTATGCAGCTTGGACTTGTAATGATCCTCCTGTTTTCAACCTCCCCTGTGCTGGGATTACAGACATGCACCACCACCGCTACAGGGGGCGGGGTGTTGTGGCATGTGGTGCCAGGAACCCTGATCCCTGTGCTTGCCTAAGCAGGTGCTTAGTCCACTGAGCTATCTCACTTTCCCCTCATTTGGCTTTGTTATGAAACCAGCATGTGGGTCTTTACCTTCTCATGAGAAGTATCTGTTTCCTAAACCAGAATGCTCACCTTTGCAAGGCAAGTGTGTTATCTTTCTGGAAACAGTACTGTGCTTGGAACCCCTCCAATTGTGTGGTGAACATAGAGTGACAAAGAGGGGAGTCGATTAAGTAAATGAAACATTAATTGTTTCAGGCTGAGAAGTGAGGACCTGAGGTCACTCATCATCACAAGGGGTCATCAGGTGCTGCTGGTGGGGTTTGTGAAGTAATGACCTGTGGCCTCCTCTTCATTTGTTCACAGGGCTGGTCCACCCTCACTGCTTCTGGTGCAGACATTGTCTATAGTTAGTGTGATCAGTATAAAATTAAGTTGTTTGTCTCTTTGTCTGCACTGGACTGCTCATATTCGTTGATTTTAACTGATGGAAATCTTATTTCCAAGAGCTTGGGTTAACCTTAGTTTAAACCTCAATTACTGGTTAATACTATTCATAAAAACTATTTTAGCTAATATTGCTTCTAAAATATCTTTTCTAGCAGGAAAAATGGAAACAAAGCTTTAGTAAGTAAGGTTGAAGAGAGGGTAGGGAAGTGGGAAAAAGAAAATCAAGTTATATCACATACAGGTACATATTCTCAGTGATTAATGTGATCATTATATATACCTAAAATGTACCGATAGTCTTTTCTGCAGAATACAAGTAGCAGCCACTTTGTTCCAGAGACAACTTGGTTATCTTTTTCTTCCTAAGACCGTCAGAAGGCTTGTTTTGACCTATACGGTGTGATATCCATGGGTACTGTTAATAGAATAAATGGGCCTAGAACTATGGCATTTTGCTTCATAAAGCTTGGTGACTACTCATCATAGACTTTTTTTTTTTTTTTTTTGGTATCAGGACTTGAACTCATGACCTTGCCCTTGCTAAGCCGGTGCTGTGCTGCTGAGCTATATCCCTGGCTCTTCGTATACACCTTTTTATAAAAGATTTTAGATTTTTTTTTTTTGTTATATTTTATTGATACAGGGTCATGACTATTCCAGGCTGGCCTTGAGCTCCTGTCCCTCCTGCTTCAGCCCACTAGAGTATTAGGATTAAAGGCATGTACCTCCGTGCCCACATTTATAAACTTTTTAAGAAATTTTTTACTGCAGGTGATTTCTTTTTCTGAGTCCCCTAGTTCACTTTAATAATGTATTTCCAGGTGAGCTACATGGAAATTTACTGTGAGAGAGTGCGAGATTTGCTGAACCCCAAAAACAAGGGTAACTTACGTGTGCGCGAACACCCACTTCTCGGCCCCTACGTGGAAGACCTGTCGAAGCTGGCGGTCACTTCTTACACAGACATAGCTGACCTCATGGACGCTGGGAACAAAGCCAGGTATGGTAAGAAACAGGTTAATGACTGAGCTCTTTGGCTCATTTTGAGCCCTTTGTCCCCACTAGAGGTGTTGAGGCCACATGTAAAGCAGTGACTGTCGGTTTCATTGTGGGCCCCTGTGGTCCTCCATCTGCACAGAGGGGTAGGCTTTAACGTCAGGAGGTGTCTTGTGAAAACAGTGCCCTGCTGAAATAGGCTAGAATGTTAGTTTAATTCTTCGGGTTTATCAAGTCATGGTAAAATGTTAGTATCGTGTCTGTATTACGCTGTGGTAGTAATTGATTCTAGAATAAATCAGCCCGTAATAAAGAATAAAAATGAAACTCTCCGGTGGCTTCCAAAGGGATGGCTGGAGTACGAAGAATGATTCTGACAGGCTCCCTTTGGAGTTGGAGGGTAGCTCTCCGTCAGGCCGTGCGGAGAGCCGTTGTGTGTCTCACAGTCTAAATGAGTTTAAGGCTGTTGCCTGGTATCCATTTTAACTCATATAGAATTCCATTGTCACATGTCACTTTTTGTTTATTTAGGACAGTGGCAGCTACCAACATGAATGAAACAAGTAGCCGTTCCCATGCTGTGTTTACTATTGTTTTCACCCAGAAGAAACATGACTCAGAGACCAACCTTTCCACTGAGAAGGTAAGAGAACTCCATTTGGGGCTCATGTTGTAAAGATTTGAATTCCCAGAAGGCCTTTTTCCTACTGTATATACATATTTTTTTGAAGGGAAGGAGAGTTGCTTAGAGAGTATAACTTGATTATCATTTGTCTTCTGCATTGTACCAGTTTTCAGTATGGGTTCATTTATTTAATAGTGGTGGGCATGGAACTCAGGAACTTAGGTGTGTTAGGCAGGTGCTTTAACCACTGAGCTATACCCTCAGCCTCAGTTTGGGTGCTTCAGTAAAATGCAACATAGAAAATAGAGTTAAGAAAAATGGGGTCTGGGGAGATGGCTCAGTTGAATAAGCACTTGCCTGGCAAGCTCAAGGACCTGAGTTCAATTCCCGGTTCTGCAAAAAAA